TTTGGTCTATAACTTGTCCTAAAGCGATTTTTTCTGTGCATTTGAGAGCAGCATTTGTAAGCAGTTTTGCTTTGATATCAAGCGGTTGTGTACACGCCCGGACGGACGGACGGACGTACGGACGGAAGTGACGTCAGCCAAACCATGAAAAATCAACTCGATGGTTTACCATTTTTTCTTAGTATGGGGCTCCGCTCGCGGGCCTTCAGCCCGCGCGGGAGCTCCGCTATAAAGATTWAAAAATAAATTGAAAAAACCTCCCTTTTTCTCTTTCGGCTATTTTTAATAAATGCTTGATAGGACAGGAAAAAACTATTAAGTTACGACAGAATGACAATTTTGTGCAGTCTGTTAATTTCTAGATCGTTGATTAGATAAATGATAGACACATGAATCAACCGGAAGTAATTGTCTACAATGATACCACCAAAGTGGATAATTCTCTCGATTAGTATCAAAAAGCAAAGATCAAAGATAGATGGCATGCTAAGCCTTTAAGGTCACTTCTAATGTTCTGATGTCAAAAAAAATCGGCAAAATCAGCTGAAGTATAAAAATGGAAACTCTGAAACATTTAAAATTAATAATATATTTTAATCTACTAAAAACCTTTTCTAAATCGGCTTTATGTATAGGGAACTCTGCATCCATCAAATCCACGCCTGGAGCATCTGGCAGATATCCAAACTAAAACATAACATATTTTTAAGTAAAACTCATAGTCAAGAGTAAAAAAATATAAGAAATGAATATAGGGATATGGACCGGCAAACCTCCCTAATGTGGACATCAAAGGAAAGGGGCAAGTGTCCCAATTCTAAAGGTGTCCGTACCTACATAATAGGAAACCTGGCTATTTTGAGGAGCAAAGAGGTATGTACATTGCCCAGGAAAAACACATGATTGCATATAATAGTATAACCACATCAATGAATGATCATAAAAAATAGCTCACCACTGTCTTTAGTCGAGGATGGAAAGCAATCAGACCATTGTTGTTTATACCAAAGGCATAAGCATTGGCTCCCATCTACAAACAAGATAAACAGTCTAAATGCTTTTTGGTGCAGATATAATAAGAAATAATCCAAAAAACACTTGACTATGCCTCATGCCYTTTAAATCCTAGTAAAACGTTCCTGCTTGTTTATTCAACAACATTATGAGACACCTTTTTCTACCAGTAATTAAGGTGACTGCCTACTTTTGGAAAAAATATTAAACTTTTTTTAAAACTTCGATCTTCTGAATTGAAATATAGTGCTGATTCAATATCTGGAAAGAAAAATTGGGTGTCCCGAGCTTGTTTTCGAGATAATCAGCATATAATGGAAGCCTACGCGCGAGCTTTTGGAGCAAAAATTGTGCCAACAGAAATAATTAGAAAAAAATTAAGATTCATAAGATAATAGTTATTTGCAGACTTTATGATTGCACGAACGAAGGCTAGTCAATTATTCTACAATCATACGTGGAATATTTTCGATACATTGATTTGTCATATTTTGTAGTTTTGGTGATCTTAAAAAATCTCATAAAGTCACATGTGTTAGAATATTTAGCTTTTTCTAAAATGTTGATATAACCTAGATTTTTAGGAGTTTATTCAAATAAGCTATTAAAAAATAGAGAGTCTAGTGCAAAATTTGAGGGTTTTGCCCTGTTGAAGCTYAAAACACGCATGGTTCCTCAATAAAATCTTGTAGATTTTTCAGAGGTTTTTGAGCACGCGCACATTGTGGGCTCAAATCGAACATTCAAAAGTAGGCAGCCACCTTAATTGGTGAAAATGGCTGAAGGTGGATCACATAAAATTTCAAGTCTAGTTTCTAGATGATCAGGCGATGTGAATCGATGCAYGAATCTCTAGAAAAAATGGAACAGGGAAATCAAAGAAACGATAAGAAAAAATCACTCTGTTGTTTTCGTCTGTTGAAATACATTTCCTTAGAAAATGTTGATGGAATGAAAGTTTGGGTCTCAATTTCATGTTCATGCAAACTGTCTATTGAGATGGCCAAAAGTGTTATCCCCTCATTTTTTGTTTTCACKTTTTAAATAAATGGAATGAGATGAAAACATGTAAATGGTCAATGATGCATTACCAGTGGTTGCATGAGGAATTCCCCTAGATTCTTGAGAGGTACATCAGTGCCAACCACTCCAATCAGATGGTCATAAGAGTTCTTYTGTGCTTTCTGAAAAATTAAAGAGGAAAATAGAAAAGAAAGAAAATGCAAGGAATAACTGATGTAGGTTTTTTTAAAAAGAAGATATAAGAATCGTTTCTAGTGGGCAGGCGATCTCGAATTTTTTTGCTCTCAATTTAACAAAAGGGATATTCGGGATAAAATCGCATGCACASTGTAAACAATTCTTAAACTATGAACCGGCTTATTTATTTCTAGATCATAAATCGTTATTAAATACTAGRATTAGGGAGCTTTTGACCGTGATTATTAGTAAGCTCTTTAAAATGGAAAAAAATGGCCACATTAGTTGATGCAAAAACTAAAACTCTGTACTTAATATCATCCAAACAGGGATCAATTATTAGTTTTCCTTCCCTCATTATTAAATCTAACGAAAATAAATTTGTTAAAAAGGGTGTGCAGCCTTAGATTGAACTATATATCATACTTACTGAACAATTATTGTTGACTCTGTAGAAAACTGGCATAGTGCCTGTTACCATCATGCCTAGGCCCTGTGCAATAACAAACATTAATCAGATCATTAATCACATGATTTAACAGTCAGCTATCTCTCAAACACAAAGTAACGTATACCCAACTCATTTAAGCATGCGCATGTATGAGGGTAGATGTATGCAAGCACCTATACATGCATATATGCAATGTATGTATTTGCTTGTTGGGAGGCAAATACTAGACACTATTTCTTTGGTAGTATTTGATAAATGCTTTAAATACCACATATTATTTAATACATAGATAATATTTCCAAAATCTACTTCTTTGTCTTCTTCATTCTCCCATTCCCATTGTGTGAGCAGTGAGAAAATCCCATGCTTGAGTGAGAGAACTATGGAATTGTGTCCTAGTAGAGGGAAGTAGACCTTAGAGGTATAATCTATTATCAGGACAGTGACATCCACTAACTGGTCAAGAATGTAACAGGATTCCAAAAATGATAATCTGGACAATGTGTATTTCCAGAAAATATCCATACCGCCACCACAGAAGGAATTTGTAAAAGGACCCCCACCCCCAGGAACTTCCAATTTTCTTCCATACAAACTCTGTAATTTTGCTTCTTCTCTGACACTCCTCCCCTCCAGAATTTCTAATCCCCTCTGTGGGTGGGGTATGGATATTTTCTGGAACTACACAATAGACATTTTTGGCTTCTGTCAATGAAAACAAAACATCAAGGGAAAGAAAAAGATAAAAAGAAGAATTGCCATTTTAAAAAAGCCTGAGCTTTCTTTCTAGTAAAAATAGAAGTTTTAATTACCAAGGCATCTAGATAGACAGCACTCCAGACAGCAGAATGGCTAACATTTATTTTAGGCGCCATGGCCATGGGTCTACTTAACACCTGTATGTAGGACTAATTCAAAATATTAATAGTAATTCAATCAAAATATATAATACATATATACAAAACATTTATTTAGCAACATATATTTTTCTTAAATGGTACCTCACTAACAGAACGAACAGCTCCAATACTTTGTATACGTGAAAAAAATCCTATTGAGATAAAAAAAAAACATTATTATTAAATTTATGTCATGGTGATTATGGTGAAGTTAGATGAGGGTTGGACTGGGCTGTACTGGTAGAATGACAGGATAAAAATGTTCTTGTGGCCAACATGTAAACCCAAGTATCAACTAGAAGTTAACAATCAATTTTGAAGTATAGACAGCTAAAAAGTTGCTAACACTTTTATTATGGTTGCAGGTAAGCAGGTAATCTTAGACTAACAAAAAACGATAATCCACAGGCCTGTCTAGATAAGGATCGACTTTTATTTACATATTGTGCGATGACAACCTTAATTAGTATCCTAGGCTAGTTTTTGTTATGGATAATACCTCTGYTTTGACGAGACATTTGAAGCATTGCCGTTGTACTCTCTGCAGGAGGTCCAACTGGGTATGTAAACACACGAACCTATAGTATAAAATGAAACAACAGTCTTTAAAGCTCTTTTGTAAACTGCATGTTCACTAATAAATAAATTTTCACCAACTTGCAAAAAGGTTGTCATAGAGAAATTTAAAAATAAACTTTTAGGCTGCGATCATAATGTATGGCAAGGGGGAGCAGGTGAAATTCAGGGGGGATGGGCAAATTTTTGTCAGAAAAATGGGGGGGATGCACAATTTTTGGAAGAAGCTAAAAGCCTCGCTTAGGGGGGATCATATTTTTTTGCATGACTTTAAGGGGGGTGGAATCATTCTGACAGACAGACATATTTTATTTGGCATTTTGCACATAGTTGCACATCAACTTAGTTCCAAATATGTTACGAGTATATACCTATGTTTATATATGCGCATAATATCTATATAAGTATAAAGCTAATGAAAAAGTTTTTAATATTTCAAGAGCTTTATATGGAAAATGTAATGTAATTAAAACCACAAATTCTAGCGCTGAATTCTAGGTTTATGTAAACCTTGTTTTATTTTACTTGCTTAGTTATGACACTGAATCTTATTTTGTAACTCTTCATAATCTCACCAGATCCAGCAGCCCCCAACCCCCCCTACTTTCCTGAGTACCTTCATATCAGAATTCAATGGCAATTCTTACCCTTTTACTGGGATTCCTTTTGGCAAACAAATCCTTCAAGTTTTTAGTTGTTCCATCACTAAAAATCATCAATGCTTGTTGACACTGGCTTCCTTTTCTAAGCTAGAAATCATTGTAGAAAACAAAATAAATGACTTTTTTAAATCACAATTTTATATACACGGCTTTCAAAAATAGCCGCCAAACTCAATTGGGACTAGGGGGAATTGAATGGAAGCAAGGTAAGTAAGGCCTCATTAGTAAACAAAGTCTACTCAGTACGATATTTTGTGTCAAAGTCATTCAGCCTTACTTCAAAAGACGCTTAAAAGAACTCGAATTGGTGAGATGAATGACTTTGATCTGAGACTGATCTGAGAGTGCCAAAGCTGAGATCTCAAACTGATCTGAGAGTGCCAAAGCTGAGATGTCACTGTTTCTCTTAAAATTATGGATTTCCAGGCCACCAGGCCAGCTTTTTAGTGACCTCATGTTGGTTTAAAATTTTAGACACACAACACATATAATAGCGACCTTTAGATACGATGACGAGTACAAGATCGAGTAAGAGTATGAGTTTAAAATTGGTCCTGTGCACGTGGTTAACACTAATTCGTAGTCAATTTCCGATTTTTTACAATCTAAGGTTCGATCTACGTACACGGTCACGACTACAAAAAGATAGTGCCTCTCTTTAAAAGTTAAACACTCGTACTCGTTCTCATACTCATCGTCGGATCTTTACAACTAATCTTTTTACACATTCTAATTGCAAATACTACATTTCAAATGTTAAGTATCCATTCAAGCAATACAAAAGCACTATGAAGACTGTAAGTAAAAGCAACATATTCCAACTAACCTTTCTTGCTTCATCAAGAAGATTAAAAGCCAAATCAACACCAACTTCCCAATGTGCCATATTCTCATCTTTTATGGTTTCAATCTGCTTTTTTGCTGCCTGAAAAAATTTTAAGCCCATCTTTTGAAACCTCCTGGGAAACAAATTTGTTGGTGATCTTTTACCCTTCTAAGCTGGTGGAATGTTTTCAATGCCATGGGAAACATCACATGATTAGAAAATGTTAAGCCCATCTTTTGAAACCTCCTTAGAAATGAATTTGTTGGCAATCCTTTTCTCTTCAAAGCCGATAGAACGTTTTCAATGCCTTGGGAAACATCACATTATTAGAAAATTACCTGTTTATTTTTCTTTGTTGCTTGAATGAGTTTCTTCTCATTATTTGTATTGCACAATAGCACCTTGGCATCTTTGTTAAACTGTTAAACAACAAACAAACACAATCAAAAAAACTTCATTAATTTAATGAAGGCTTTTCCAAGAGATCTATGAAAACTATTTTTTTTCCAAAGACATATAGGAAGATAACATTATTGGCGGAAGGGGGATAAAGGTAAAAGGTAAAGGTAATTTATTTTACTTCGATAACGTGGGGAGTGGTTGCCCAATTCTCCCGAGCCAAGGCCACGTTTAATGCACTCCAAGGTGCGCCCTCTACCCCCTCTTACTGTCAGTGCTCCTTTCTACGGGTATTTAAAGCTAATTAAAGCTACACAGAACAGGGAGAACTCGAAACAGACATGGAGTTCCTGAGGATCAAACTATGGACCTCTTACTCTGAAGGCCACGCACTAACAAAACCCTTTACCTTTTTTTTAGAGCTGATAGTAAAGTTTCACTTACCCACACTATATTAAAATAGTCATTGTCTTCAAAAGTGTCAATGAGTGCTTGAGCTGAGTATTTTGCAATTCTCATTGGAACACCACGCATGCTACCACTTGCATCTAAAATGATCACTACATCCTTTGGAGATGTAGCTCCTTGGATAAACCTATAACCAACAAACATAAAATACAGTAGTATTGAGTATCAGATAATATTTCTGCATGAAAGACTGCAGTCTAGCAGGACTTACCATGACCTACTACGTGCATCATATAAGTCTACCTGACCAGGCTCTTCTTTCCATTTGCTGCCTAAAATGCAAAGTTAAAATAAAAACATCTTTAAGCCAGGGTTTTACAATAGAAAATATATTTAGTTCATTTTAGGCAAATAATTGTTAATTATTGCCTCAAGTCTTCTAGCTTGGCACAAGTGCTTTACTAATCTTGAACCTAAACATGATGGCCAGGTTTTTTACATTAAACATTCGCTTTCTACCTGAAATTTGTTCAAGTACACAAAGAATGACAGTTATGTGTAAAATGTACCTGGATAAACACGCATAAATCCAGTATTACTTGCAAAATACTGCCATGCAATTGAAGGATCTGCCTTTTCATTCTCTGAGAATGCTTTATTTAGTTCTTTACTCCATGCAATTCCATTGAGAATATCAGCAGCTAAGTAAAAAACAAATGGTTATGATAAGGAACCCATGTAGATTTGATTTGCACTTGGCACGGTTTCTAAGAAGTCAGTGGTGACCCTTGTAAGGTGCCATCATCTCTTTTTAAATAATGTCACATTTTTCTTTCTTTAGCAACTATTCACTGTTATAGTATTGTGCGTGGGTGAAAAATCTTTTAACTTTAGGTCCTTCTCATTTTTCTTCAATATTGTACCCAGAGCCAATTATTTTCCTCTTGGTCAGTCCAGAGAAACTGATCTTGATTTGGCTTTCAGTAACTGTTGTTTACCTGTTGTTTGGATTAAGTTTATCCATGATTCGATCTAATTTAATTAATTTAATTTAATTTAATAAACTTTCACCCTAAAATAACTATTACAAAGTAGACTAAAAAAAGAAAAAAATCTTTGGGTGAGGAAAACACAACAGAGCTGGCTCATCATTGAATGCCTTCAATTCCAATGTTAGAATGCCTTAAGCTAAAAGTTAGCATTCGGACTGGCGAAAGCTATAAATTTTAATCTCATTGTGTAGTTCTAAAAATGATGTAATAATCAAATTTAGAGTAAGATTCAAAACTTAAAACAAAAAAATACTTACATCCATCATAAACATCAGTTGGAACATGAATGGTGCTTCTGTTAAATGTCACATTTTGTAAATAATATGGATTGTAATCTAGACTTATGCCAGTGGCATTGAGGTAAGAGTCAAGACTCTTTGAATTTGGATAATCTATATCTGAAAGCTAAAAAAAATGGTTTTATTAGCTAGTGAACAATGCAGAAAATTTAATACGATTATATTAAGGTGGCTGCCTACTTTTGAACGTTTGAATTGAGCCCACGATGAGCGCATGCTCAAAAACCGCTGAAAAATCTACAAGATTTTATTGAAGAACCATACACGTTTTGAGCTTCAACAGGGCAAAACCCTCAAATTTTGCATGGGACTCTCTATTTTTTTAATAGCTCATTTGAAAAGACTTCTAAAAATCTAGGTTA